GACATAAAAAATAGTAATAGAATTGATGAGTTTAAACATAAATATAAAGGTATGTGTCAATCAAGATATATGCAAGAACAGGCTTAATGATTAATCAGATGGAACATTGTGGGTGTGGTGTATGAATGTTAACACTTTGTAATAATTCTTTAATATATTACTTGTGTGGTGTAGAAGTGAATCATTAACTGCTTGCAAACCAATGATGGTAAGATGATGTCATGGGGTAGGACTGGATAAGTCTGACTTCTTCCTACTCCGTTCAAGCATGTACTAGGTATATTGATATTGGCTTATGTGTAAAATTATATGTGTTGTCATATCAACTGTTTTACATGCTTGAAAGCAAATCAAATCATTGAGCTTGCAGTCTATCCAATACCCATTGAGATTTTTCAGTCCATAGTGGTGGACTGACTTAAAAATAAGCAGAATAACATCATCCTTAGGGTCACGCTGCTAGCACAGTTAAAAACATACTCAGGCTGTACAAAAAATTACTAAATGTTTCCATTCATAGGTGAAAGATAACTACAACATCGCCTGTAGTTCAGGCTCAGCTTAAAGTCTGGTTCAGCATTTGAAAATGTGACGTTTAGTTGTAGCGCTCTCATCAGGCCAATCAGTATAATTTTAGAAGCTATCTGATCAAAACTGCTAAAGTCGTCCACCTCTGAGCCCACAGTTAGGTTCTGTCACTTACTTTGCTCTCAGCAGGTCCTGGTCTTTGAGAACAGATCCTTGCAGATAGATGACCCTTTGTGACCACAGAGGGATCTGCAGCACTCTCCGTACCTGGAGGTCCATTTCACTTGGACACAAGATCACCACATAGTAGTCCTTTAAGATTACACAAGAACTATGTTAATATCTTAGTTTTAGTTACTGTGTTCTCTAAATCACAAAAGATACTTTCTCCATGCAGATGTTTATCATAGATTATAGGAACGCATGTGTGTATTTCAAGTTGTTTGTTACCTGCAGTCTGGGATGGGCATAGAATTCGTTGAGAAAATCCATCAGCAGGTCTATCTTTAGTGCACTGACACACAGCACTACATGTTTCTCTGTCTGTGCTCTGTGGCGGCTGTAATTCCCCCCTGACTTTTGTCTCTCCATCCACAAGTAGATCAGCTCCTCAAACTGACACACAACAACCTGAACAAACCTACAACTCACAAATAAACATGTAAGTGCTATCCAAAGTGTTGTCAGCATCTTCCTACCTGCAGAGGCAGCACCACAAGAGCCACACAGATCATGATGACTACCAGCAGCTGGGAGGGCCATATACGGGGAGTGACATCTCCAAAGCCCACGGTGGAAAAGGTGACGATGCAGAAGTAAAAGGAGTTAAAGAGGGAGAGGTTTTTGCCTGCTCGCTCCAGGTGCTGGATTCCACATGTGCTGTTGTGACCATGCATGCAAACAACCACCCAGTCAGTATTTAGATAAAGTATAAAGATAAAGAAATAGCTTTATACTTGTTCCTTAAGAATCTGATCAGTTATTTTCTATTCCCTATTTTCCATTTACAAAATTTCTGTTTCTGTTTATTTTCCAGAACTATTATTTACTAATAATTACCTGATTACTTCCTGAAGGTTCCCTAGAATAAACTATATAACCAGAAACATCAAGACTGGTTCCTTTGTTATGTTCAGTACTGATTTCCTGAGGAATTTCCTTGAAAGAGCTGCTCACTTTAACACAAATAAATATTTTATTCAATATTAATGTAATAATTGAAACTTAGGTCTTCATATATATGAAAATGCATGTTTGCCTATAGATACGTTTCACATTTTTGCCATGGTCAGCTAACCTGCAGTCTTAAACCAAAAGTCTTACAGCTGTGCTAGCTTAGCATCTTTAATTAACTGGTACCAACCAATCAATCTTTTTCCTTTATTTTAATACCAAATTTCCAGGAAACCTCTAAGGAAATTATGTGAAACTTATTAGGAATTTAGAACACCAGTATTTCCACTTTTCCTCACAACTTTCACCACTCTTGTATTGCTTGAACAGTATTTGGCACCTGCTGCAAGAGAGGTTGGAGAACAGCTTTGAGTATAATGATCTGAAGAAAGAAGTCTGTTGTCATTTAGTAGGCTGCATCAAGGAATCAGAGCTCACATTCAGCTTTAGTTTCATCATCACTGGCTGCCTTTACATGCACTTAAGTAACTAGGTTACAATCGGCTTTCTCAAGTAAGTTGATTTCTTCACTGCCATGTAAATGGGAAATCTGGAGCTAATGTATACCTGGGTTTTTGTATAACCTGACGACTGCTGTGCATGTAAACGCATTATCTGATTTGTGCCTTAACCTGGTTTCTCTCAGGAACCTGGTTAGTTAAGTGCATGTAAATGAAGTCATTGTTTACAAGCAATATACATGAATATTAATACAATACATGCATTGTCATAGATACCTCTTCAACGTAGTGCAAATAAACAGATTGTCACCACACAACACTTTTTTTAAATATGACTGTGCCAGAGAGGTGCTAATACAAAAACATAAACATCACATTGTTTCTTAATGCAAAACAACACACCACCGCAAAGCTGAAGTGAAAGTATTGCTCGTATCCAAGGTTGTTAATCTAATAACATATGGACATCTTAAATTAGTCATTCACACTTAATCACTGAATAAGATAGTAAATAGCTAAAAGAAATCAGCCTCACCCAGTAAAGACCAGGCAGAGTAAGGTGCAGATGAGTATGAGGACCTGGTTGAACATGGCTGAGTTGGTCCTCTGGATCGCCCTGTGGACATCGTTCTATAACGTAACGAATAACATACTGTTACAAACTAAAAACTCAAGGACATAAATACTCATATTAAATAAAAACATTAGTCTTTATCACTAGTACCAGGAAACATTCGTGGCTCTTCACTGCTGGATAACAGCATGAAATACAGAATAACACGAGAATATACAGAGATGATTGCAAATAATCCCCTGGTGGAAGCCCTCTTGGATGCAAATAATTAGAGCAGAACCAAAACAGGAGAAGGATGTGTTCTTGTCAGTCGCTGCAGCCGTACGAATGAGAGAAGGTCTGTATATGTGGATTTCTGAGCAATGTCGGTGAGATGTGTGCAAACGTATTAGATAGGGGAAAAAGTCAAACCACAACAAACCACAATCCACAAATTACAAATTGTAAAAGTAATTAGTGAAAATGTTCATTATTTCAAGAAGGAAAAAAACTAATTGGAGTACAGAGACTCTTTTCATGGTCCTTGATGTTTCTACTACTGTGTTCACTGTCAGGAGTGAAGCTCTGCCTGTTTACATTGCAGTCATCTATAATATGGGTTTTTGCATCATTGTAGCACATCTGGCACATGTCCTGTGTTGATCCTGTGTCTGGTATAATCTGAGGAGAGAGCAGGCTTTATGCTAACGTTATTAATATAAAATCCAAAATGAGTGTACCTGTGCTCTACCTGCAACCTGTGCAGGAGGCAAACAGCATGGCAGCCTTATTCACTTTGTGACGGGGGCATCTGTGTTTTACGTTTAACCCACATTAATGTTTTTGGACACATATAGGTAATTCCTCACTATGTGTGGAGCTAATTTTGTGTATAGCCTCATTTAGCATTATAGCTGTGATGAGCAGTATGGTACTTGAGCAGTTTTTGTAAATAAGAAAGCACATGCCAGGATGTGTGTCAAAACTCTTAATAGTCCAGGATTTCCAACAAGCTACTGTATTTCCAGATAGTCCACATATAAGCTATTATGACACTGTGGCCATTTATCATCTCCTTCAATGTTACGTGTATATCCTTGATTGTTGTAAACAGGAAAGTGTCTCTAAACAAGTCAAAGCATTTAGACTTAACAAAGCTGATTAAAAATAGTCAATTAACAGGAATAATTACATTGATATTTTTGACTCACAATCATGTTCTCCAAAGCACATTTGGCCAGCCAACAGTTGAGAAACACTGGAATGAAGATATTCCTTATTGAGGGCCAGAAGATCTGAAGAGAAAGTGAAACATTTTTCTGTCTCCTTTAAGCTGAGACTCTCAGTCATTCTTATGGTTTATATTCTTGAAAAATATATAAGTACAAGCATTTATTTTATTTATCATGAACATTAAATCTTAGCTGAGAGTTTATCATTTATCGGTAGGGGACATGATCAGGAAGGTGAGGCTTATGAAAGACATTAGGCTACAAGAACATTAACACGACAACTTAAACTAACACATATCTCGACAGAAAAGATTCTGAGTATTTCTCAGGGTTGTCATGGTGAAAGTGTTACCGTAATGATGAAGGGAACAGTGTTTATCATCTCCAAAAGAAAGGACACCTGGAATATCTGCTCCCAAATGTTCCCCTAAAATGAAAAACATGTTTTTACTAGTGAGCACATACTGTAATAGACAGTGAATCACTGCACTGTACATTTCTTCATTGTAGCCTGTCACTTTCCACAAACACTTAATACTTCACCTCAACCAGATCCTGTAATTACCATCTGTCTTTAATGTAGCGGTGACAAATGACTTGGAATAATTGCACCACTTATGGATTGTCAATCTCACAGACTGTACGTGACTAATTGTACAGGCTGTATTAATCATGCCGACGTGCTTGAAGCCTGTGTATTTTGTGTGTGTGTGTGTGTGTGTGTGTGTCTTACCTTGTAGCTGAGATACATCAGCAACATTGTCTCCAGGAAACTAATAATGGCCACAATCACCTGTAAACCAAAATAGGAAATGATAAAAAAAAAAAAAAAAAACAATCTCCTAAATTATTTACAACATAACAACCATTTCAGAAACAATCTTCATCAGTTCATATACTTCAGTTTGTAAAAGTTTTTGTTTAAACCGATTTCTATTTTTCTCTGTGTATGTTGCGTTATGATGACTCACTTGAATGGCCCAGACAGGAACCTTTCTGTCCACCCAGAAAATCAGTTCCCTGTCACAAGCACATAACAGTAACAATAAATATCCTCAGCATCAGAAATTAAATATAACAATCTGTCCACTGAACAAGGCTCATCACTGATTTCCATACTCGCACTGCAAAAGTCATTGTAACTGTTTTGTTTGCCATAAAATAACATAAAACAAAACAAACAAAAATTGATTTCATAATGAAAGCAATTAATTGCAAACAATGAAGTGACAAGATGAGTGCAAGAAATGAAGTTAGGTACTAAAGAAAAAGTTGAATAAGCAAAGGCAGACTTTTGCTTTGACTTACTCTACTAATTTGCCCCTATTCAGAGAAAGTGCACCTTCACGCCGACTTACCAGTTAATTTCTCTGTCCTGCACTGATCCGTTCCACTGGCAGTCAACACTGCAGAAGAGTGGTGATGGAAGGGAGAACAGAATAAAATGACAGAAAACTTAATGAATGCTAGATTTTATACATGTCAAATCCCTCCACTGAATCCATCAGTGCTTTACATCTTCATGCTCGCCTGTCTGAAACTAAAAACTAGATGCCTTCCTACAACACAGATCAAAATGAAATGCTTATTGTTAGACCAGTCAAAAGCACATTTATTTAAAGACGTTGCATTTATGATGGTTAAAAACTGTTAAAAGTCGTGAGCTGGCTCCCACGTTAAGTCTACTGTCAAGATAACTATCACCACCTCCATCGGAAAGTCAGAATCTTACACCTTGTCCTTCACTTTTACTGAGATTTGGATCCACGCATTAATCTCTTCATTTGATTAGTGCAATTTTCTTTCCTCTGGCCGCTTCAGTCAAAACACAACTTGTCTGAAACACTGCTAGAACACTATGAACAGATTCTCACACTAAGAAATAAATAATAAGATTCCAAATATATGTTAATGCAGTTATGTTTTTAAGTTTGACAGAGAGCCCTTTGCTTAACGGCAGCAGAACTGTCTGTTGAGCCACATTTCTAGTCTAGCAAGTAAAATTATACATATTAAAACACTCAGTCACCCTGTGTTTACATATCGGGCACATCTAACCCCAAGTCAGAAAGACAACGTTTACGTCAAATATACAGCATCTATCAAATTCTCTGAAGTTACATCAACGAGCGCATGAACCAGTAACCGCTCAGAGAAAATGACTGGCATCTGACATGTTCTCTCCTCTCATCTGTCTTATAACGTTTACCATACCGTGCAGTACCCAGTTGTTTGGTTCGATACCCGTGTTGTTTAAATAATCTCTTTGCATTTCATAGGTACTCTAATGCCATTAATGCCAGTTTTTGATCTTTACTTTAATAACGTATCAGTTGTCCTGTATTTGTTTTTTGTAAAGTGTGTTTTGTAAGTGTGATACTGCTCTTTAAATAAATCTCAACTTGCACTAGACACTTTCCTCTCAGTGTAAACAAACCATTTGTTGGTGCCACTAGGAGCGTTTTGCTGCCCTGCGCCATGGCTGGCACTGGCGCTTTGACCGGGGTTGTCTGTCACCACTCTGATAATGTACAGCAGACAAGTGAGCAGCTTCAGGGAGAAGTTGAACACACGAATCCTAAGGCCTAAAGGCAAGAGAGGGACCCAAACAGATACTTACTACAGACAATACTACACCAAAGCAACAAAAATGTGATATATTGTGACATAAGAAACATCAGTGTGTGTGTGTGTGTGTGTGTGTTTGTAGATTTACAGTAAGTGCAGTACAGGGGTCATTTTGTTTCATCTGTAGTTCCTAAGCAATAAACCTGCTTCCATATATGCATCTGGGTCTCATTAAGAATACATTTGTGGGTACCGCTTGTATTGTGTCGCCCACTAATGGCTCATTTAAATTATGCAACAGTCAGTTTAGTGGGTGTGAGAAAATGGCCTGCACCATCCACTTACTTGATCTTTGGTTTTTAATGAAGAAAAGCTTCAGACGCTCCTTGAAGGTGTTTTCGTTCACATAAAACTCGACCTGCACCCTAACAGGGAAGAGAAGGAGAAGAATCAGCAACACAGTGAGAGCCATGCAGATCAGATTTTACAGTATCAAATTTGTAGCCAGCATAAATACTCATAATGTTGTTTTTCTAATCACCTCCCCGAGGAGAGTAAGGTAATTATCCATCTCTGCATTTGTTCCCAGTTACAAGGCAGGGTTACTAATGGATGTGCAGCCTAAACCATGGGAGTGAAAGAGCAGCTGTTAAATATGGATTATACCCATCAAAATTCAACTAGAAAATATTAAATACAAATATTATTTAGTAGCCAGTACTTCACAACAGCTAATCACTACTTTTGCAAGTGAGCATTGTTACTTCTCATCATCATCCTCCTTCATCAACATTATATCATATTGACAATTGTAATCATAATTCCTGAGTAATGAAAGTAAAATGCTTTCATTCAAGTGTTTCTTCACAGTGTACATGTTGATTTAAGTTCTGAATAGGCAATCAGGAGCTACTTTATTCCAATTCCAATAAAATTAACTGTGCAGTGAGTAAGAAGGAAAGTAAGAGTCGGTCATTACTCGTACAGTAGGTAGCTTGGCAAAACACTACTAATGTAGAATCATTTCTGAAGAAAGTGCAGACAGGGAAAATGAACAAGTGTAAGCATAAGAGATAGTGTATTAGAAGAATGTGAGAAAGGCTGAAAGCTTCGGAGGCTGTGCTGCTGCAGTTAGCCCAAGTTTTGGCCTGTGGCTGAAAGGTTCACAGCGGGAAATGAAAGGCTGTGTGGGTTGTTGGCTGCACAGACAGCACACTGCAACAGCTATTTCAGGTTGACTATAAAACCGCACCAGAGAACGGAGAAAGCCCTTCAGAGATGAAACACAGAACATTCATTCATTCATCTTCTACCGCTTAATCCCTGAAAGGGGTCACGGGAAACACAGAACACTGAGAGCGAAATCCGCTGTCACATCTGGCCAGCAGCAGGGCAGAGATGAGCTCTGGAGGTCAAGACATATGAAAGTCCTACAGATTGCTCTCGCTCTCTGTCTCAGCCCTCCACCCACACACATATAGTGTACATACACACACAAATACACATAGTGGTCTAAGTAATGAGCCTTAATCAGCTCACAATTAATATCTGAAGAACTTTGATATTAGTCATATTGCGGTGTCACGTTGGAGTTTTGGGCAATAAGCAGCTCTGGGAGTAATTAGATCTTTTAAAACAACTTACTGCTGCAGAGCAACTTCTGCAAGTGCAGCTCTAAAACAAGTCTGCTTTTGTTAAATCAATTCACCTCGAGGTGCCCATCAGCAACAGGAAGAGGCCTGTTGCTGCTGTGCAATAGATAGATAGATAGACAGATAAGCAAGCCTGGGTTTTTCTATGAAAACTGTTTGGCACCATATTAAAACCAAATGGCTGATTAATTGATTTGTCAGTCTTTGTCCTTGTTCTGGTAAAAGTGACATGAAATGACTTACAGTACATGTACAATAGTTCCAGTATGTCAAGTGTGAGAATCTGCTGACTTTTAGTCTTACGTGTCAATAAAATGACTATAGGATTGGACTCAAAACAACAAAGTGGCTCAAAACTACCCCAAAGACACACAAAATAATTATGGATTGTCAATCTCACAGACTGTACATGACAGGGTGACCAAACAGAGATGCAAAATAACCACAAAGACACATTTCTACTACAAATAGTTGCAAAACAACCACCAAGAATCACAAAAATAATATAAAAACACAAAAAATTACAAATGGACACAAAATGACTGCAAATGAAGAACAAATGTTTATAATTTTGTGGCTATTTCAGTCTGGGTCTCCACTGTAGGAATGGTGCGGCCTTTTATGTGTCCATGATAGATACTTTGGGGGTGGGGGGGACAGCAGATTAGTCCTTATAGCACCGATGACAAACACTTTATATTAAAGTTTAAACAATTACAGGTGAAAATAAAAGGACAGATAAATTATCCCCAACTTGATCTAAGTAATTTCTTAATTAAGAGCCATAAATTGACTGCTTGTGGCGTTTAAATGGAAATATTTTTCTGGTTTCCTTATTGTGGTTATAAATTGAAATGTTTTGTGTTTTGCACTTTAATTCCACTTGACTTTATGTGATAACGGGCATTCACTATTCACTATTCTGACATTTTATCAGCCAAAAAAGTAATTTATCATCACAGTAGTAGTCCTGTTTTATATTTCGACAAATGTGGATTAAACACAAAAACAATTTTTGGATTATAGTTACTATAAATAAAACGCGCTGACATTTCTGTGCAGATCAGCAGTTTTTGGGCGCACTTATCAAAATAGTCAGAGCAAACACACGTTGCTTGGTTCCTCCATTGTTTGAATGTATTGAATAACAGCAAATTATCTGAGAAAAAACACACAAACTTCTCAAAACATTGCACTATCGCTTGCCATTCGGCACATCCAGCTTACCTACACTAAGGACACTACGCACATTAATAAGATAAAGCTATCGTCTGTGCTCCTTGTGGCCCCTACCTCTGCCCGGCATCACTACCAAAAGGGTCCGACCTCCAAGTGCCCACAGAAGGACTGATCCAGGTCGGGATGACGATCCTCGGATCCATTGTGGAGGACACCTGTGGCTGCGTCGTGCAGTCGGTTAATTCCAAAGCATCTTGACTATAACGTGACTCCACGCAGCTCCAAAATAACACAACACTAACTCTTAGAGGAGGATGGACTATTTTTGAGCTTTGGAAAATTATATATGTTATCTAACACGCTTAAAACAATGTGCTATATTAAAAACTAGAGATCCGAGACAACGCAATGTCTGATTAATCATTTATTTTGAGGAATGAAGTGCGTATTGGAATATTTTTAGAAACGATATCTCTCTCTTTTATCCCTCTCTCTCTTGTGTGCGGGCCTGTTGCCACAGTAACGTCTCTATGACAGGAATAACCCAAACTGATGCTGCTGCAGCATGGTCCTCTCCAGTAGCGCTGCACCTCCTGACCAAGCTGTAAACATTCACTGTAATACATTGGAGCAATGATCAGATCAGCTGCAAATAAATACTTATTCGTCTTTGTGTTAGGTGAGATCAGACTTACAGCATTCTGGTATTAACAGTTTCTTAGAAGTATTTCAAATGTGTCCTCTGAGACCATCGTGATTTATAGGCTACAATGCCCAAATGCATTCACTGTGTCTTCCTTCTGTGCTCTTCTGTCAAGGGAAAGCAGCACAAGATGTGGGGCTCTCTTTGGTCTGTTGATGTGGAGGTTTTGGCATCATAAGTGACATGAGCAAAACAGAAACACAGGTTCTTTTTCCTTGTTATTTGTGTAGAAATGCAGACAAAACAAAGTCAAACAGTGCAGGAGGTGCTGCTCTGTTTCTGTCTCTCAAATGTCTTCCTCCTATACCTCCCACTTTTTCTTCTTCTCTCAATTTGAAGAATCTGAAGTAGTAAATTATAAATGACCTCCTCTATGCGTCAGTGCTTTTGAAAACACTGGAAGAGGCCACTCCACTTGAACCCCCCTCGCCCACACTGTACAGTCACACAATGTAGCATTTCTGAGTTGCATATGAAAACTATACACCATAACTCCTGCCTGTAAAACATATTACATTTTCATTTATGCCCTCTGCATTTACATCCTACTAAATATAGATACAGTAAATTAAAAAAAACGGAAACTAGACAGACATAGAAGAATAAATGAAAGATGATTTAAAGGATAAATGAGGTAATGGGTCTGAGAGAAGGACTAACACATTTCAATTAAGGCTGATTGTTGATGCTGTGAATGTGCCTTTGGTTGTTTTTTTCTCATACATGACTGCCTTTGAGAAAGAACCCTCTGAGTGATGGATGATCCCTGGGCAGATGTGAGCATGCAGTGGCATTTGGGAGTTCACAGGCTGAACATGGGCCTGGAGACTAACCACTGAGAATCTAACCTGAAGCATCAGCGGCCTCCAACAACACTGTCTACCGGGCACAGAAGATGGGAGAGAACAGAGAAACGATTATAATGGTCTAAATAGGAACTGGAAATGCAGGCAGCTTTATCAAGGAGAAAACAGTGGCTGTTGCAGGGACAGCTGGGGAAAGGTCACCTCTGAGTGGAAGCACTGGCAGAGCTTGTTGTTTTTCCTTGTCAAATAGATATGTCAAATATTACAAACTGCATTGCAGTCTCAAAGGTTTTCTGGTGCTGTGATCACATCTAAAATTACATTTGATCATCACTCTCCTGAGGTCCATCTGGCAGAGCCTTATATCATGTACTGGAAAAATATCTAGAGGAAGAGCAAAAACAAGACCATAGCCAACAGCGTTACCGTGCTGAATTCAGCGCTCAATGGCAGAGAAGGGATCATCTCCTTTTTTTTTTAAGTTTTAATTTACAGGTTTATGTCTAAAGATGAAAACAAATGAAGCAGATATCAGAAAAAGATATGATCTTGTTAAAAAAATTGCAGAGGCAGCAGAATACTGAACAGAAAGTAAAGGAAGAGAAAGTAGCGATGAGGAATGGACTGATGGTGAGAGCTCATTTTAAAATCTGATCGTGAATTAGGTCACAATGTTGTTGCTGAAAAATATGCTTTGTGTCAAAGCTTTTCAAGCTTCAAATACATTCTCAGAAAAATGTGCAGAGACACACACTTAGCCTGCTTTACAAACCACAGTGCTTAACAATTGCTGGTCCTTTTCAGCACCACGGACAGCACCATTAGCGTTGCCATCATCTGGTTTCATTTCCTCTTTCAAGATGGACAAAATCCAAAGCACACACACAGCATACACCAAATTACAAGGTTAAAGAGCACTTCAACGTGCACTTGTGAATAAAGACTGCAGGGGGTAGATGAGGTAAACACTTCATGCACAATCAGTGGTGGAAGAAGCACTCAGATTGTTTACTTAAGTAAAAGTAACAATACTCTGTTACAAGTAAAAGTCCTACATTCACAATGTTACTTAGCTAGTGGTAAAAAGTCCTACATTCACAATGTTACTTAACTAGTGATAAAAAAAGTTTTAGCATCAAAATATACCTAAAGTACCAAAAGTAAAAGTACTTATTGTGCAGAAAGACATGGTTCACATTAATGTACATTATATTATTGTATTATAGTTAATAAATGAATTACTGTGAACATCACATTTAATGTTGCATCTGGTAAAGGTGGAGCTAATTGTAACTACCATATATATGCCTATATTTAAAGAATTTTACATACTGCTATGGATTTCAATGGCATTTCAAAGTATTTGTCAGCTGTAGAAAAAGGTCTGACAATCAGCACTTTGACAGGTTAAAGCACCGTGATGAGATGACTAACTGCTCTCATGACGTCAATAAACCAGCGCCACTGGTCATAATAAGTGTTATTTATATTCCAGAGGAAACAACCTAAAAAACCCAGATAGTAAAAAGCAAGTGACGATAAATGTTACTGCTGAGAAGGAGCTGGATGAATATAACGAACAGATGTTCTGATAAATACAATTAGACACATTTGTCTATTTGCAGTTTTCTTGTTTTGAAGTTAAAAATCCCTTTAATGAAGTGTTTGAGAGCTTCGACTAACATTTATTCTCATTATGGGTTCCTTTAGCTTGATTAATTGCTTTGGTCTACAAAATGCTTGTCATAATTTTTCAGACCACAAGGCAACATCTTCATTTGTCTTGTTTTGTCTTCTTTGTTTCTCAATTGAAAACTATAACAATTTACTGTCATATAAAATGAAGACACCGAACATCTTTACACATTCGACAGGAGAGGAGGTAGTCAAGTTTAAAACTGCTGATACTCAAACAATTAAGTATTAAGATGGTTAATAAAGTGATTTACGAGGAGCATTTGGACGTGTGAGTTCAGCAGACAGCACTGTGGAGTTATGTCTGACCATTTACCTTCTAATGCTTTCAGGTTCTCATAATATTTGCATTATTTTGTCTTTATCTAATACATCAAAATGCAGTATGTCTCGCACAATTTTACACTTTTTACCCCCAACCCCCAACCCCTCCTCCATGTGGTTTCCCTGGTGTTTTTATTTCTGCTCATTTCAAAATGCACTACTCAACCCACTTGTTACCATTTCTCTTCACATCCATGCTGCTGCCTACCTGTCATCGTTCTGAAAGCTCTGGTCCCCGAGCAGCAGGTCTCTGAAGCGGAAGCGGGGCGGCAGCGGAGGCACCTCGCTCTCCAGCTGCTCCATCTTAAGGGTGGAGATGTCTAAGATTACCCCGCTGCTGTTGCTGTTGGTCTGGCGTTGTGCTGGAGAGGAGCTGGAGGAGTAAAGAAGCAGAAGAGAACTGAAGGTAAAGGAAAAAGAAGAGCAAAGTCAAGGGAGTGCGAAGAACAAGCAATGTTGAAAGGGAAGAAGAAGCACAGGGAGAGAAGGAGAGGAATCAAGGAAAGGGGCTGGAAAAGTGCAAGCAGGGGAATAACACAGAAATGCAGACACATCTGGGTTAGAGAAAACAGGAGAGAAAAAAGATCCTGCCATAAACTCACAAAAATAGTATTTCATCTCTACCCAGAAAATTCACTACTTCCCTTGATATTAATATGTTTACCTGTGTGTTTGCAGCTTGTTCTGTGATTTGAGCTGTTCAAACACTCTCCTGACGTCATATAGACAATAAAAAGCAGACCCAGCCAACATACAGTATGTTTATCTATAACACCATGCATACTAACTGCTTTATTGGCCTGGGGCAGACGCAGGCATAAAACACAGCTAAGTGGCTTTAAGCAGTCATTTATCCCCATTTCAAGCATAAAACCAAGATAACACACAGAAACAGAGGTTTACATGCAGTCTATTTGAGGATATATGGTATTTCCTAAGGCAGAGTTAGACAACGGAGTGAACAGAGTTCAAGCCCTGTTTCTTACAGTCTACAACTTATTTCTATGGTATTTAATTTAATAACATTTGTTTTACATCTCTACAGATTTTTCTTTGATCTGGAAAGAAACATATCTTGTTTTGGACCATCAATCTGTTCAAGCTGCCCAAATGAAAGTGTTTAGAGAAAACAAGTGCTACCACTCATTTTGGTGGAGGAAGGTTTCAACCAGAGGTGGAAAATAAGGACGCTAATTACATTTAATCAAGTGCTGTTAGGGCAATTTTGAGGTGCTTGTACTTGCATTTTATGCTACAGTATATTCCACCATGTTTCCAAGGGATCTCTTGTATTATGTGATCCACTACATTTTCTAGCAGCGTTAGTTACTAAATTAAGATTTTACATAAAGGACACACACATTACAAAAATACAACCCAAGACCAGATACAATAATATGCAGCTCTCATAAAGATGCATCAGTAAAAAGAACCCCTGCCTTTTTTATTTTTATTTTTGTAGAATGACTACTTTGAATTTTGTTACTTTAAGTTCATTTTGCTGATAATATTTCTGTTTTAGTTAAGCAGAGTTCTTAATGCAATACTTTTACTTGAAATTGAATCTTTTTGGGTTATATTGGTTATATAACTTTTACTCACCACTGGTTTCAACATATGCAATCACTCATCTTGGGGCACACATCATTAATCCTGTGCGATAATTTAGTTTGAGTCTTTAGATTAACGTTGACATAAAATCATAAAATCATTAAAAACTGTAGGATAGAAACATTTGAGTGCAGCTTCTACTCTTAAGTTTTTCTGTCTGCAAATGTTGAGTCACATCTTCAACTTTTGCCAAATTCAAATGCAGCTTGAGGGCGTGAGTAACATGCAAAGGAGGAGCACAGTATATTGGGATGTTACCTTTGACCCCAGGAGAAGAAGGTGTATGAAGATAAACTGATGCCAGTCGCTTAAAGGAAGGATGAAGTGGAAACCCCAGAGTTAAGTGAATGGATTGATAATATTTTACAGTGTGTTGACATCAAACTACACTGCATCAGAATATTTTTGAGAGAATACAAGCCTTCTTTAAAGATTTGTTCAATCATCAGTTACTGGAGGCTTCTGCACATAACCCATCTGGTTAAAACCAGGCATCCTCTGATTAGATATTTCTCATCACAGGGACACATATGAGATGTATTTTATGATTTAAATAAAGTTCTGTGCTTTGGTGCTGTTTTCAGTCCCTTACAAACAGACACTGAAAACTGAAAGCAATACCCTAACAGCTGAACACACTGGTGAACAGGATGAAGGATGCAGCTCTGGGGAAAACATTATTAAAAACTATCCATGGCAAAATCAGCATGCTCACGCACTGTATCACAATAAAAATATTCAAAATGTTTAAAGTAGGAAGATATATGGCACCTGTCACTATTTTTAATTCACCAAACACTACCCTCATCTACCAGTCATAGCACCGTTATCATGTGCATAACTTGAATCAGAAGCACTAAGGTAACTTAACTATCAATAACCATATAAAAGTTTCCCTTCTTGTCTCTTGTAGTTTCTCCCTTACCGTGGCTTGTGATCGTTCACGGTCCCATCATCGTTCACAAATGACTGATTCACGTAACATTCACTGCACATTTTGGCCGGAGATCCGGCGCTGCCGTCGGACTGGAGAGCTGCGGTGGTCTGCGTTGAGTCCCCCTTGACAAATTCGTCTTCCTGGGTTAATTGCATCGGAGGGTGATCTGTCAAAAAGGAGCGGACTCCCGGAGAGAAAGAGACGCTCTTTTAAAAGTCCGGGTGTTTTCTCCCAGTGTCAGTGGACCCCTCACCTATCCAGGTGCATCTTGGAGGTATGGAAGAGTTTGGCAGCCTACGCAGATATGAGGTTGCGAGCAAAGTGCCCAGTGAACTCTTTAAGATGCAAATGAAAGCATTTGGCTGAGAGGATGAAATGAGAGTAGCAACGTGCCAAATATTCTAGGAGATGCAGAGGACAGGTCTGCAACAGTCAACATAACGGTAGTGACAGCTTTCCCTCCTGAGGTAGCGGGTACACCTAATGACATAGCTGTTGAATTATCACCCAACTCTTGACGAGGAGAGAGAGATTAGCGCCATCTGCTGGAGGCCCCAAGGTCTCCTCGGTGTTCCATAGCTAAAATAAACGGGAACACTGACATTTAAAAAGAAAAGACTTTGGATGGGAGACATAACTGTGTTCAGCTTAATATGATGAACAATATAATGGATAAAGCAACAGACACTAAAAATGTTACCAAGGTCAAAAGGTCTGCTGTTCGATTCCTGTTCTCCCCAATCCACATGTCGCAGTAGGTGGGTGGCCTTGGTTCTGTACCAGAGACAAATTCCTTCTGTGTGTATCATACTTGGCCAATGAAAGTGATTATCATCATTAAAAGTGTTGTTTCTATTGTCTCCATTTTGTTTACGTTATTCATAACTGTACATAAATGTTGTCACCATAGTGGCGAACGTATTCAGATCTTTTACTTAAGTAAAAGTAGAAATATTGAAATGAAAAAAATACTCAATTACAAGTAAAATTCCATTCAAAATCCCACTAAAGTAGAAATATTATCACTATAATGTACTAAAGGTATTAAAATTAAAGGTAGTCATCTCCAGAAAAATACCCCCAGGGTCTCTGAGGGGTCGTGAGAAGATTACTCCAACAGTGTAGGAAGAACATTTCATTTTAAAAATATTGTATTTAGATCTTTTCTTAAATTTTGGCTGTTTTGTGGAATGTACAGTAGGATAAGGCCTCTTTGGGCACTGAGGAGGTCTTTAAATGCAACTATAGGGAAATCTCAACTAGACAATGCTTTTCTATGTGGCATCACAAGCGAAACAAGTGGGGAACCACTGGCTTAATCATTCCCTGTGCATTGTATTCTATAAGGCCATATTATGTAAAATCTGAATGTAAGAAGTAACAAGCTCACAAATAAATGTAGTGGAATAAAAGTATAATGTAGAATCAAATGGAAATCCTCATAGGAAATGCTTAAGTACATAACTGAAGATGTGCTTAGTTTCTTTTTACCATTTAGACAGAGACTTTGCACAAGAAACATAACACTTGATGATGATAGGATGATTCATCATCACACATTTCCTTCCACCTTGTGCCTGCTGTTGGCGTTGAGCATGAGCATCTCCCCCTTTCACACAGAGGAGACCCAGTAGGAGATGGGAAAGCACGGTGGCCAGAAGCATCACAGGATTAATATGCCACTCTAGGGATAAGGGCTTACAGTTCATATTTTAGTGTAATACCAGGAAGGATGACTGCAGCACATCTTGACACTGGTAAATATAGATCTGAATGGTGAGTGATGGAAATTAGAAAAAGATATGTGAAGGAACAGAAGCCAAATGGCTGCTACTACACTCCCAGAAGTGCCATGACAAGAAATGAAAATTTAATGTAAAAAAGAAAGATTGACTGACTGGATGTCTTTTTTCATTTAAATATTTATTTCTTTGTTTATCTGATGACGCAAACTGGAGCACGTACAGAGGAGATGTGGGAGAGGTGATATGATTCACTGGGGAGACAGTGACATGAGGTTGGTGAGGAGCGTTAAGCTCATAATGGATGTTTGGGATTGAGTCAGCCGTTCTGACTGGAGTGGGAAGGCTTTTTGCTGCTTGGGAGGAAAAAGAAAGTCACATCTGTGAGATTATCCCACCGGTACTATGTGTTGTGAAGAAAAGTTGGGTTTTGTCAGCAGATTAAAGACAAAGTGAAAAATGGATATGTTCGTACAGATCAACGCTGGGATACGTCTCATCTTGGACAAGAACACGTAGCACTCAGATGGAGGGCTACGAATTGAGCTGTTTAAAACATAATGGAAACTGAACTTTTAATGTAGCCCAGCGTGGCACTTTGCTCACACACTCAGTAAATAAGTTGTAATTCCGTGTATGGCTATAGTGATGTGACAGGAAGGAGAAGTGTCACTGTTTGTATCTTCATCAGCATTTATTGGCCTCAGCTTGCTTGTTCAAATGCTTATATAAGCTTAGCCTCTATTTTCAGCTGGAGGTCAGACCTTTCTCCTGTGCCGTGACCGTCTCCATCTGGTGTCTGGGGGCCACTGTGCTGCCTCCTCTGAGCTTGACCCCCCCACATGTCGATGTACAACAGAAGCCAAAACAAAAAGGCAACTAAATACACCAGGTATTGCTTGTAAAGGTAGCATTTTCCTTATTTAGCTTGAATTCATTTTAGGTACGGTTAAAGTTTCCGAATCAGTACGATTTCAAGGTAATGATGCATATTTTCATTTATGATCTAACATTTCTATTGCAGTTACCGGTGCTAAAAGATAAAAATAAAGTTTCAATGTCATCCTGCATCAGTCTGCAGCTAGTCATTCATCAAGAGTCATTTCAGTTTCACAGACGTTTTGTCTGTTCAGAGAACAGCTGAAAATGCTCACAATGATCTGTTATTTACTTAAGCTGAGAGAATATTTTTGCCTCAATGAATATGTTTGCCCATACAGTTTACTGAGGCTTTCAATGGACACGTCAGGATCCATTTATTACTGTCACAAGATATTCATACCTTTGAGACTACAGTTTATAATAAGTGGCACTCATGTACTTTCTGCATTGATTCTTCTAAATCAGGAGGCCATTCAGTCTCAACATCCTCCTTCTGTGCTACTGTATACAAAAGACTAGAAAACCATGAAGAGGTGGTAACGTTGATCAGAAACTGCTTAGAGCAGAATCCAAATGGATATTTTGCATGGGAACACTACATGAGAAGGTCTCAATCAGGAATTATCCTTAACTTGTTTTTTGTAAAGGTTTATTGTCTTTTTGATGACTGATATTGTGATTTTTCTTCTTCTTCTTTTAGATCTATTGTACCTGTGTATGTACAGTGGGCACGGAAAGTATTCAGACCCCCTTAAATTTTTCCCTCTTTGTTATATTGCAGCCATATGCTAAAATCATTTAAGTTCATGACACTCATATATTTAACTTAGGTGCTGTCCATTTCTTCTGATCATCCCTGAGATGGTTCTACACCTTCATTTGAGTCCAGCTGTGTTTGATTGGATGTGATTAGGAAAGCCACACACCTGTCTATATAAGACCCTTCAGCTCACAGTGCATGTCAGAGCAAATGAGAATCATGAGGTCAAAGGAACTGCCTGAAGAGCTCAGAGACAGAATTGTGGCAAGGCACAGATCTGGCCAAGGTTACAAAAACATTTCTGCTGCACTTAAGGTTCCTAAGAGCACAGTGGCCTCCATAATCCTTCAATGGAAGACGTTTGGGACGACCAGAACCCTTCCTAGAGCTGGCCGTCCGGCCAAACTGAGCTATCGGGGGAGAAGAGCCTTGGTGAGAGAGGTACAGAAGAACCCAAAGATGACTGTGGCTGAGCTCCAGAGATGCAGTCGGGAGATGGGAGAAAGTTGTAGAAAGTCAACCATCACTGCAGCCCTCCACCAGTCGGGGCTTTATGGCAGAGTGGCCTGACGGAAGCCTCTCCTCAGGGCAAGACACATGAAAGTCCGCATGGAGTTTGCTAAAAAACACTTTAAGGACTCCAGGATGTTGAGAAATAAGATTCTCTGGTCTGATGAGACCAAGATAGAACTTTTTGGCCTTAATTCTAAGCGTTATGTGTGGAGAAAACCATGCACTGCTCATCACCTGTCCAATACAGTCCCAACAGTGAAGCATGGTGGTGGCAGCATCATGCTATGGGGGTGCTGCAGGGACAGGACGACTGGTTGCAATCGAGGGAAGGGTGAATGCGGCCAAGTACAGGGATATCTTGGACGAAAACCTTCTCCAGAGTGCTCAGGACATGACTGGGCCGAAGGTTCACCTTCCAACAAGACAATGGCCCTAAGCACACAGCTAAAATAACGGAGTGGCTTCCCAACAACTCCGTGACTGTTCTTGAATGGCCCAGCCAGAGCCCTGGCTTAAACCCAATTTAGCATCTCTGGAGAGACCTGAAAATGTCAACCAATGTTTACCATCCAACCTGACAGAACTGGAGAGGATCTGCAAGGAGGAATGGCAGAGTATCCCCAAATGCAGGTGTGAAAAACTTGTTGCATCATTCCTAAAAAGACTCATGGCTGTATTAGCTCAAAGGGGTGCTTCTACTAAATACTGAGCAAAGGGTCTGAATACTTATGACCATGTGATATTTCAGTTTTTCTTTTTTAATAAATCTGCAAAAATGTCAAAAATTCTGTGTTTTTCTGTCAATATGGGGTGCTGTGTGTACATTAATGAGGAAAAAAATGAACTTAAATGATTTTAGCATATGGCTGCAATATAACAAAGAGTGAAAAATTTAAGGGGGTCTGAATACTTTCCGTACCCACTGTATATTTCGGGGTTGTGTTCTTTGCAACTTCAACAACCTGGGTGTGAGATACAGCTGTGACCTTTTTGCACATCATGAAAAGCAAACATGCAACAGCTGTTGTCAGACTGAATCCCCTTTAATTAAAACGTCTTTTGAACAATATTTCTGACACAAAATCAAATCAATGTCTGAAGGATTTTTAGAGCAGAGCGGTTGATCAATGAGGTTTTGGTCCAACTCTGAATACATACACTGAACATGTGTTAACATATCGTGTGGAGTCGGCAGACCTGTTATATGATGTTACCACAGAGTAACACCCACTGTTTGATTATTCAGGAACGGACCCACGACTTAAGCACCAACAAGAAACCCATGAAGTTTATATGAGAGTTTGTCTGAATCAGTCTGCTCCTTCAGTGCTGACTGCAGCCACAGCTGAAACATAGTAAGGTCCTTCTCTGAGATAAGTCTTCAGACAGATGTAGCACTGACTTCCCAGGATCTCTGCTGCTGTTGGTGAACATGCGAGTGCCCCCACCAGTTCAAACTTAGCATCTTTGGCCTCCTTTGTCCGACCTGTTGATCGATCCAGAATGAACTCCATGAAAGTGGGAGTACTGATCATTAACTTCTGGCCCCATGGCTGAGTGGCAATGGCCTGGAACACACACAGGTGAAGGTAGAAATATTACCAGAGCAGTGATGAAGGATTTCTGCTTTGGTGATTATACAAAAAATGAACAAGACAAAATCTTTCACCGCTACGGTTCTGTTTTTTATTTTTAAACAAGCTAACACATGGGGGAGTAGCAGTAAATAGAAACAGCTCAGAACTCACAGTGAATATCCGCAGAGCCCCACAGTGCAGCTCCGGGAACGGCTGAGTGCTGATGTTGCGAATCATGTCCATGGGATGGTTGGACAAAAGGTGGAACCAGGACTCTGTCAGGGACAGAAGGTCTTCTGTCTGCTGCTCTGGCTGCAGTGAAACATTGCAGAATGAAAAACTGAAGTTGACATTTAACGACATAAGAAAAAGGATGTTAATGAATAACCCTTATGTGTGCGCACACACACCTGTAGAGTAAGAAGTTGGGATATGGCGTCCAAGCTGCGCACTCTGAGCTCTGTAGCTCCAGAGTTGGCAAACTGACTCATTCTTACCAGCACAGCCTTAAACTTTTCTCCTGAAAACGCAAAAAGAGTTAGACAGAAAGATCCCAAGGTATAACAGATAAACATTCACATGAGGGACCACTGCTCCACTGGCTTTTATTAAAAACCAAGTAGAATGTAGGAAAAATAAGAAAGACAATAAGATAACCTGTTTTCTGCAGGACTTGCTTCCCCTCCACTGTAGATCCAATTAATCCTAACGTGTCCAGAGAAACTCCGTTCATTACAGGGTCCGGGTCCAGAGCCATTTCAAACACCTTGTTCTGGAAGGCTGGGTAGGTTTCACAAACCTGTTGTGGGCTGTCCATAATGGCCAGGTTTCCAAAGAACTTCACCAACCCTATGCGGTAGGAGTGATATTCACACTATTTAGGACTAATATCATAGCACCAAACAACTTAAGGAATACTTCTCCTGAGCTTCAGCATGTTTATCAGTCCTTCTTAATTTTAAACACGAGTCTGACACAGACCAACAAACGAGAGGAACCCATAACTGGACTCATCTGAGTGGAGCAAAAGGAATGTGGATGGACTGGCTGTATTTTCTTAAAGCAACGAGACTCACCAGGAAGGTAGAGGGAGGCGAAGGGGTCAGTGTCAGCACCTCTGATCATGTTGGAGATCTTGTCCATGATTCCCTGCTGGGCCAAATACTGCCGACCATGCTGACTGTGGGCAAGAGTGGTCACCATCTCAATGGCTGTGGCCCTGGAGGAACGTTCAAAATAGACACAAATTAACAGCATGACTTAAGAGTAATAACACAGGAGAAACGTAGACAAGTGTGTAACTGTAGTTACTACATTATACATTTCCACACACCATGTCAGTTTGCGCATGAGTGTATGTAGTATTTGTCCCATTACCTGATCAAGACATCATCTCCTGTCAGCTCATCCAGCAGCTGGGAAATGAGGCTGCTGTTGGCACAGTACCCAAAGGAAATTGGAGATATATTTGAGATTTCCACCAGCAGCTGCATGCAGCAAGAAAAACAAGTCAGTTTGTTTTGTATGTGTTTATTCATATGATTAAGTCATCAGTCAGTTTTCATGAGAAACTGTATGTCAGAGAGCAAAGACAACAAAAACAGATGAAATCTGGGTCACTTCTTTGCATAAGATAACCTTGCACTTCCCATTAACATTGATTAAGAACGAGTGTTTGCAGTCTTCAAGCTGGGTGCAGGGTATACTGATGCCTGCTGGATGATTTTATGAATCAACAGTCATTCAGCTGCATCCATGTGTGTAGTTACAAACTCACTGGTCATTTTAAAATACTTTAAAATAACCTAATCTACATTTAATACATTCAGGCCTGATTTCTTCTTCTGATCAGTCATACCTTTAACCGATTCCCTGAGAAAAAAAATCTCATTTAAAAAACTGCATGCTAAAAAAAAGTTGCCACTTTTGCATGATCAGCCTCAAAATAACGCGAATTCACAGACATGTAAATGTACCTCATATATTCTGTATCTGACAATGTCACTTGTGGCCATCACATCCTTCATGACTTTCAGCAGGTCGCTCTGGAACAATTTGTCCAACCCAGGTTTAGAGTGGCTCAGTTTAGACAGGGACTGAATGGCCTAAGAAACATAACAGTTACTGTACATACACTGTAGATTCAATAAAATCTCATACAGGCTACTTTAGGGTTTTAGTCATCACCTGTTTTGCCACAGAAATCTTCTCTTCTCCGATGCAGCGGATCACTGATCGCAGAAGGTCATGGTAGTTAAGGATTTGAGTGACAGCATCAGGGTCCTCCACCATTCTACAAATCTGACAGAAAAAAAAAACCTGATTTGGTCAATTTTTTATGGATAACTTTCTTTGTGTGTGTGTGTGTGTGTGCGCGCGCACCCTACCTGTGTCAAGGCCAGTATCTTAACACTTTCATCAGGATGGGTCAGGCCCCCCTGCAGCTCCACCCTGTAGTTCTGGGCCAGATGCACAGGGCTGAGGGCCATTAAGATGCGACTGAGGATGTCGACACACAGATCAACGTGCTCTCTGTGAATACAGTTCGCATTTGTAAACTTAAACCTGCTAAGCATTTGTTTTATGGCTGCCACTAATAACTCTTTGCATTATTGATTTATCTACCAGTTATTTCCTCAAGTAATTGCTAATCTGTTGACCTATCTAAAATGTTAGAAAACATACTAGTGGCCATACTCACATTGCTTGTTTTCTATGACTAACAGAGCCACTGAAATTGTTCACTTTTCACACAACTAACGTGTAAGAATTTGGACAGTGACATATTTTATTGGTTATTTTTATACTCCAGCACACAGAACTTGAATTAATCAGTGACTCTGCATTATAAGTGCTGATTGTCAGCTCTAATTTGAGGATGTTCGCATCCATATTGGACGAAAGGTGTCCCTGTTTTTACACTGTCCAAAAGCTAAGTTTGGAGGAACAGCGTCTACAAAGGGCAACGACACCTGATCTGTTCTATGAACACCCCTCAATCACCATAAATATGAAAGTCAGTAGTATAATTTTCAGATTCTTTCATTTTCAATCCAATAAAATGGTAAAAATGGTATACAAGAGAAAATGTTTCACTGTTTACAACTGAGTAAGTTAGCTAAGTTCTGGGTAGCTTTAGCATTGTAAACATTTAACTTGCTAACAGCTAGCACGGATTTAAAGCTGTCTTTTCAGCTAGCTATCTTTCCTACCCCGTGTTAAAACATTGTTCAACCAGCAGTAACGTTAGACATTTCAGCAAATAACTTCCATCAGTTTTCTAAACTGTGCAACGCTAAGTTAAACAAGATGCACTATGCCAAACCTACCTCTGATTTGAGTTTAATAGGGAGAATATTACATCAAAACGCCGCCCGGTTAACGAGTCTCTCAAAGCACTGAGAGGTACCGATAATAAAGCTGTTTTTAAACTCTGTAGCTCTTCAATTGGATCTTCAACACCGGAGATTTCCCCCAGTAAACGCTCAATAGAAGAAGCCATAACTATCAATGTTTGAGGAAACCAACCGACATACGTTTCCTCAACTTCTTCTTTTTTAAAATGATTTCCTACGTTGTTATCTAATGTTATGGCGCTTTACCGCCACCTCGTGGTCAGAGTGGGAGGCTGCACTTGATTACAGATAAAGATTTCTTTGTCAGATATTCGTTCAACCTGTCCACTTATAACACAGATTATAGGAAAACACAATGTAAAATTTTTAAACATCCACCATACATCTACCTGACCTGTTAACAGCTCAGTAAGAAGTAACAAAGACAAGACAACTAACTTGAACCTGACTTGAGCTTAAACTTGTGCCTTGTACTTGACTGTGGACATAATAAAGCTGTAAAATGTTACTTATGCCACTGATCTAATAAATTAGATTATGATGTCCCACTATTTTCAGCATTAAATTTGCCTTAGATTGTGCTGGGTGTAGCCAGTGTCTCTGATTCACAGACTAAAATGCTCCTGGCCAGATTCTCTCCCATATTAGCTTCTCTCCACTGGCTCCCTGTAAAATTCGGAATAGAATTTAAAATCCTTCTCCTAACATACAAAGCCCTTAATGACAAGGCTCCATCGTATCTTAAAGACCTCATAGAGCCTTATCATCCTAACAGAGCACTTCACTCTCACAGTGCTTTGATAAAGCTTATAGTTAGGGCTGGATCAGGTGACCCTGAGCCTTCCC